GCCGTGGGCGAAGGAGTCGTCCCCAGTCAGTGATGTATTTAACCAAGTAAGGTTATATCTAAATCTAATATACTTCTGGAAGCGAAGACTAGCTCGAGGGTCTGGGTAGCGTAACTGGTAAGCGCGCCGCACGGCAAGCGGAGGCTGCGGGTTCGAGTCCCGCCCCGGGCCAGTTCTTTTATTCCAGAAGATTCTAAATTTATTTATTGATTTATTTATTTAATTTTAATTATTAATTTAATTAAGAGATGGCGCCTAACGTCTACCTCTAGTGTCAAATTACTTTATTCCAATCATTTAATTAGCCATATTATAGCCCGATATTTAGGCGATCGTTTGGTGATGTATTTACTACTCGGGCTATGAGTTGTTGATGTTTATATATATATATACCATGTAGGGACGCTTGAAAATAGACAACATCGCACACACAAATAGGCAAATAAGTATTGAACAGGTGATTTACTGTTCACATACAGACAAGGATCTGGTGGATGCATATATAGGATGATCAATTAGTGGGGCCCCCCATTTTGAAGAATGCATCGCTGAATCTAACATAGCATCAATTCAATAAGAGTCCAAATAATGTCCTGGGGTATTGTGAACCATGTGGTGTTGATCGGAATCCACAGTTCATCTTTGTTTTGTGAGGGTAGAAGGGTATTCACCTAATGTTCAATCCTATCCCACAGATTCTTGATTGTTGAGAGATCAGAGAATGTTCTGGCCAAGGAAGCAGCTGCACACTTTTCAAAGCATTCAAGCTGGTCTAAGCTATATATGGTTGAGTGTTATCCATTTGGAAAAGTGCATTTGGGATATGATAGTACTGTGGACCATAGCACCTTTTCAACATAGCAGTGTGCTGTCAGTGTTCTTGTAATGTGTACTAGAGGTGAGTGGCTACTGATGTTGATAGCACCCCAAACCATGACTGCATGCTGGCAGGCTATGCAGCACTCAAAAATTGCAGCAGGATCCACCCAATGGTCATATCACCTGCAGATTATCACACAGTGATCACCATTGGACAGACAGAATCATAATTCATTGCTAAACACTGTTCCATTTGGCATCCCACACAGCTCTGGTGAGACACCATTCCAGGTGGTGATTTTCACCACCTGGAATGGTGTCTCATTTTTAAGGGTAAATGTTGTAATGGATGGCTGGACAACAAACCTGCCACACCCAATTGGCAGGACACTATCCACATCAATGTTGGATCATTCAAAGTTCCCTGTATAGCCCACAAAATGTCAACAACTGTGGACAGTGGTTCTTTTACAGCATGATGTCAGATGTAATGACCCATGCACTCAGATGTCTGTCTCTATGCTCCAGTCCCCCTATGATGTTACACTTTTCCTTTCTGAGACCACTGTCTCCAAATGCAACCAATGGTTGTGGCATCATAATGTTTTTCTTTTGCAATATGGCACAAGGACAAACTGACAGAATGAAGGTCTGCAATGAAACCTCTTTTTTTGATGAAATTTATTGAAATTGCATACAATGACATCTTAAAGGCATCAGCATCCCTTGTTCCTTCACAAGATATGGTAACAGCTGAACAACTCACTTTTCATAGCTGTGACAATGTTTTGGATGATGGCTTCATAGGCTGGTTGTCTGCTTATATCCTGTGTTTTGTGGGGTAGGCCTTTTGTGTGATTGGCCAGAAATGCAATTGTTTGCATAACTCACACATGTTCCTATCCTGCAATTTGCACATCATTGCATTCATATCACATAGTGTGGCATTTTCTCAGTCAGGCAGAGTATATTTGTTTGAATATTTCTAAAAATTTTAATAAAGTACAGTGGATTATACTTAATTGGGACACATTGGGACTAATCCATTTTGGCCCAATTAAGTGGCTGCCCCAATTAAACAAACTAATAATAAATTCTACAATGAAATATGTAATACATAGGTAAATAAATAAGTAGGTAAAAAATAATAATTAGGTTCTGTACCTATTTTAATGCTTTATTAAACCAAAATACAGAAAATATTTGTACTATAAATTTGCCAGACTCACAACAATAGATAACTGATTTGCATAATGCTAGTGTTGCCAAATATTAGTAATGACGTAAACAAGAGTTGACCATTTGACCATTCCTGATCAAACAATTTTTTCTTTCTTTCTTTTTAGTTAAAACATGTTCTAACTAAACAGGGAGGAAAAAAAGGGTTCATCCAAAATTCATTTTACACACCTTTGAGCACAGTCTTCCTTTGAGCACAGTTTCCTTTACTTGGAGATGGGTCACTTTGGCGGGAGTGTCTGTAGAATCCATCAGCTCGGTGCTCATCTCAACAATCAGATGGCTGCTGTCTGAATGTAGATGTAATTATGTACACAATACCTTCCAAGAAAACTCTAGCTGTCTTCCAACTCAGTCGAGAGACCTCAAAAAACTGTCTGGCAATCTTTGTCCCTTCGCTTTTGAGGGAATCGTCCAGTCCAATCCACAGTAGGGTCAGTAACTCACATTCAGGTCCATCTCAGATGAAATATCCATGTGATACATCCTACTATGCTGACCTCCTCTAGACAAACTGAACTGCCCAAGCAAAAGACAAAATCACTTTGTCTCTGCCAACCGTTAGACCTACACAACATTAGCATACATAGTGCGTACATATTTTCAGATTACTAAAATATTAATATATCAAAAATTGCTAAATTCCTTTTCTGCTACTGTCCCAATTAAGCAATTAATTATGTATTAATTTATTAGTTTTCTTTTAGTTCTTTGAGATTTGGCCCAATAAAACAGCTGCCCCAATTAACCAGTGTCCAAATTAAGCAGAATTCACTGAATATAGAAATGTTTATATTTTATATACTGTATATAGTTATAACAATTTTATATGTAGCATTCAAAAATGGCAATTATCGCTAATTCTGTGTCCATGAAATTCGCTATATTGAATAACACTGATGATATGACACTGATCAAACTGCACAGATATCTACATCACTGACATACAACTGACACATTACTAATGTGTAAAAACGAATCTTAAGAAACCAATATATTATTATTAAACTTTTAAGAAATGTATCATTAGGAGTATTATCTGTATTATAGACCAAGTTAAGCTAAGTTTTGAAGGAAAAACAATCTTATACAGTGGTACCTCAGGATACGAAATTAATCCGTTCCGAAACTGAGATCGTATCATGAAAATGTCGTAAGGTGGATCATCTTTTCCCATACGATTACNTACAATTCTCTATGGAAATATATAAATATATTTTTTGCCATTTTGGATAAACCAGTGTTCTTTAATGTTAGGTCTGCAGAAATTTCCTGCTAATCCATAAAAAATTTTGTAGACTGGCAGGAAATTTTGTAATAACAAAATAAGATTTTAAACTTGTAATATAAACAGTTTTTATTTATTTTTTATTATTGTAATTCTTTAAATAAAGTTAATTATAAATTGAAAGTTTATTAAAATTATTAAATAATACTATAATTACTATATAATAATAATTAATAGAATTCATAAAATAACTAGCAATTATTTATTGTGACATTGTCATGATGCTGGATTTCAATTTTTAATCATATTTTTAATTTATTCAATTTAAAATATATTCTCTCCACCTCAAATTAGTAGTGTCTTGCCCCTGTACATCATACTTTTCCTGTTAGCAATAGAGTTGTGACAGTCATCTATGTAATGCCTTTCAGAGAAAAATTTTGAATTGAAATAACATGACTTTCAGTACAAACCAAAAGTTTGCATATAGTTAATCGGGGCCTCCTGCCCTAAGCTTTCAATATCTGATCTCAACTTTAATCTACCTAACTGATCTCAAAATTAAGGAAAGACAGTCAGACAGACAACAGTGGGGAATTTATAGGTCTACAATTTTTTCAAATTGCAGCCCATTTACATTTATGCATAATATTTATCAAAGCATCAGTCTCATATTTCCACCACCCCTTACACCCTTGCTGTTACACTTAGTACACATTGCAGTATTGAGTCAGCTCACTAAATGGTGACTTGTAGCAAAAATTCTTATTTTATTGTGACCATGCGTGATTCAAGAGCGAGTGGCTGATGTGCAAAGAAAAGCAACACCATTGCAATACACAGTAATCAGTGTCTTGTTATGGCCAGTTACAACAGTCGTGTGCACCACCCATGTCTAAGAAGTTTAAGTTTAAAAAATTTATCTTTAGCCTTCTGCCAGTCTGCAAAATATTATTTCTATTTTTTCAGTCCACAGGAATGAAAAGGTTGAAGAATGCTGGTATAAACAACAAGAATCACAGAAAAAGTTCATAATTTAGATTTTCAATATTTGTATTTATTACTATTAAATTTTACATTTAGTTTTAATTTTATTTTTATCCTCCTTCTTATATTTTCCGAAGTGACTTGATCTGCTTCCATGGTAACAACCTTCCTTTTTTTTTCTAAATTTGTATTCAGTTTAAAGAGTAAAATAATGTTTTTTTTTTTTTAAATCTTTTCTGTGAAATGTAGAACATTCCAAAAATTTTGTAGGTTAAATATTAGATCATATTTTTCAAAAACATCAATATTTCCTTTTTATATTTTAGTTTCAAGTAGAAATAAAATTACTGAAATGTAGACAATCTGATGTTCTAAATTTAAAAATATCAATGTTGGATCATTCAAA